GTGGCTCCGTGGCCGCCTGTCCTGGGATGTCTGGGTTGAATGCACTGCACAGTACATTTGGTTCCTGTCGATGCCAAGGAAGGCCTTGGGAAGTCTGTTCTAATAAAGGCACTTGTGTCTGAGTCGCAACTGGCAAAGAAGCAGCCCTCCGGGCCTTTGAATGTGCTGCTCCCGCCACTTGGAGTGCAGGCTCTCTCCCCGCCTCCCCATATCCATCTGGCAAACTTCCCCCAGCTGTTCAGGCTGCGGTCCAAGAGGGTCTCTTGTGGGAAGCACCCCCAGACCCCTCCTTCCTTCCTCCATACCTTGTGTCCCCTGTGCTCTAGCTGCAGGCCAGTGCCAGACTACAAGCTCCCAGAGGGCATACACCAAGCCACCAGCACGGTGCGGGGCACACGGGGGTGGCCGCATCTTCAGGGAACTACGGGACAGGTTGCTGATTGGGTGGGCCGCGGCTGCCGGCCAGTCAGACAGCCGTAGGATGACCAGCCTCTGGGGCTCCTGACGGCCAAGGCAGAGAACCCCACTCCGAGAGGCCCCGTCATCCCCTTGTGCCCTGCCCTGCAGCTCCCACCTGTCTTCCAGCTCTGCCTGCTTGCTACGTCACAGTGTCTCCTACCTGTGGGAAGGACCCCCCAGGACGTAGGTTTTCCGTGGACCGTAGAAACAGGGCTGCCTTGTGGCACGACCGTGAGGGGCTTCATTCATCACGTTGCTTCAGGATTGGCACTCCCTGTGGGTGTGCAAGGCATAGCCTCCACCTTCACCCGAGGTGGCCCAGTGCCCCTGCCCCGGGGCTCTCCCTGTCCCTCCACTCCTGCATGTCCGGCACTGGCCTTTGGGGTCTTTGGGTCCACCTCTAGAGGTAGAGGCCATGTTCATCAATCACGTGGGGCACATGGTATGGTAATAACAACAGAGCCTCTCAAGGGAGCTCCTAGGAACCAGGCCCAAGTGCGGGCAAATTGTGGCATGAATCCTCCCCACACCTTGCATGACATGAGATCGGATTGCTTTGGAGGGGGCAGGATGGTTACCAATGTGTTTGAACCAATATTCAAATGTTTTTACATCGCCTGGAATAAAATGGGAGAAGGGGGCCCCAACATCCCTTGCAGGCGAATGAGACAAACGCAGAAAGGACAGACGAGCTACTGGTCTGCCAAGGGCGCAGTCCAGGATGGAAACTAGGGCCTTCACTGCTGAATGTTTCTTAGAAAGGAGCCCAAGGCCACCCATTGTGTGTGAATACCATCTCAGGTGCCCCGTCCTAGGGAAGCAAGAGTGGGGGAAAAGAGAAGTGAGGTAGGGATGGGAGAGAGCAGATGCAGGCTGGCCACAGCTTTGCAACAAAACACAGCCGGCTGCTCGGGTGCCCAGCATGCATCCGGAGAAGCCACATGAAGCCACATGCCGCCGCCCCCTCCCCCCCATCGTAGACCAGTTGACTGGGGGAGAAGAAAGTCAAGAAGTTTATCTCTTGTCTTCTTCCCATTTCCTGCCTCTCTTTGGTCAAAGCATATGTCCTGGGGCTTTTCCTGTCCCCACTTCAGAGAGTATCTCACCGGACCCCGGGCAGTGCTTTGATTTCAGCGAAGGATTCGATGAGGAAAGGCTAAGCGGACTGATGTCTGCAAGTATAACCTTTGTTTCCCTCATGGGCAGATACATTGGTCTTCGTATCTGACGAGATCACGGTGAACTATCCCTGTCTTCATCGAGAAACTGAATGTAAACTATAAGAAGTCAGCAACATACAAAAAACTCTGGATAGTTTTTAGGATAGATAGGAACTCAGCTGCCCACAACCCTCATTCATTAAGGATGTATTGCCGTGGGGCGCCTGGGTGTCTCAGTGGTTAAGGCCTCTGCCTTCGGCTCAGGTCATGATCTCAGGGTCCTGGGATCGAGTCCCGCATCGGGCTCTCTGCTTCGCAGGGAGCCTGCCTCCTCCTCCTCTCTCTCTCTGCCTGCCTCTCTGCCTACTTGTGATTTGTCTGTCAAATAAATTAAAAAAAAAAAAAAGGATGTATTGCCGTGTAACAAAATGCTACACACTCCACAGGGTTAACATGACACACAGTTATTATCTCACAGTGTCTGTGGGCCAGGAGTCAGGGCACGGCTGGATGGAGTTCTCGTCTCTGGGTCGTACACAGCCACAATCAAGGGCTTAGCTGGGGCTGCGGTCTCCCTGGAGGCTCGGTTGGAGAAGGACCACGTCTAGGCTTCCTTGAGTTGTCGGCAGAATCCAGTTCCTTGCAGTCGTAGGACTGAGAGCTTCAGTTTCTTGCTGGATGTTGGCCAGAAATCTCTCTGAGCAACCAGGGGTCACCTGTAGTTCTTGCCACTTGGGGTTCCCCTGATGGCCGCTTGTATCCTCAGAGCCATCAAGGGAGGAAAAAAAGGGGGGGGTCCAACAAGACAGGTGCTACATCTCGTGTAACGTTGTCCCATATGCATCGCTGTGTATGGCCGCCCCTTTGCTGTATTCTCTTGGCTAGAAGCAAGTCACAGGTCCCACCCACACTTAGCAGAGGGCATCCCCTACAAGGGTGGGAGCACAGGAGGCTGGGACTGTGGGGGCCCCTTAGAGAATCTGCTCACCACGTTTTGTTAGAACTCTACTTACAGGCAAAAGCATCAAATAAGTTACCCGCCCCCTCAACAGGTTTATATCAGGAACTAAGTTAAAAAAAAAAAACAAAACCAAAACTCCATGGGGTGTGCTGAGTCAGCCTACGCAACCGTCTACAGTCCCCAGTCTGTGCCAGTAGAGAAACAGGCCACAGTCCAGTCCATTCCGCCCCTCCTGCATGTTATTTCAAAAGACAAGAAAATGGGCTCCGTCAACAGAAAGGGAGGCAGAGCCTTACTCCAGCCTTACTCCGTTGTCAATATTTAAAAAGCTTTCACCATTAAAAGGACAATTCTCTGCTTAAATATCAACAAACCAGAACATTCAATTACCTAGAAAATCCCCATTCCTAAAATGTTCAGGGAACCCGAGCCTGCTCAAAAAAAACAAAGACAGAGATTCTGCGTCCCATGCAGTGGTTGTTCGTAGACTTGCGTGGAATGAGTGAGCAGCCACTGAATTGAAGGGACCCCCGTCGGGGTGGGGAGGGGGGCTCAGATTCGGGGCTGTCTTGGTTGGCCCCCACCTGCGGCTGTCTCTTCCTTGGGGCCTTTCTCCGTGGCTCCTGCCTGCCTGGCCTCACGTAGGCTCAGCCACTGTGTCAAGACGTAATTGACTGAGTGCCTCGGGCCAGTCCAGGCTCTGCTGAGCCCATCAGGGCAGGAACAATGAGGTGGCACCTCAAAGGAGGGAGGCTGTTTCTAAGGCTCATGGTTGATGGCCCGCAGTCGCTGTGATTACCATTTTAATTGCACGGCCACCACTACCTGATATTCAGGATGCAGATTTCAAAGACCACAAAGCACTCTGCAGGCTTTAAAAAGGGACCCTGGAACAATCAGTTTCAGACCAGAAGGAGCTCATTATGATATCTTTCTCTCGTGGGCTCCATGTTGCAATCAGACTCTCCCAGAAAGGACAGATCTGACCGTCCATATCAAGGTCTGACTCAGATCCCACCTCCTCTGGGACTTTTCCCCAAACCCGTACTCCTTCCCATTCTCTCATGTGACCCTGGTCCCACTCCCTGACCCGGAACCCCTTCTAAAACTCACCACTCCTACCTCTGATTTGGCAAAAAAAACAAACAAAAGAAAAAACCCACAAAATTCTGACATCTCTCCCCGTGGTGTTTTGAGATGGAAATACCTTCACACTCTATCTTACACTCCCAGTGGGATGCTTCCTTCTTAGTGGCCGGGAGGCGTGTCTCGTTCTTTGTCGTGATCCGTACAACTGCCACAGTGCTCTGTGCTCTGGTGAGGCTTTTGCACGCCTGTCCCTTGCGCTTGGCACATTTGTAACTCAAAACACTGCCTAAGTTAAGTCCAATTTTGTGAGCTTTCCAGAGGAGAACGTTCACAGCTGCTTTTTTCTTTTTCAGAGCGAACAGTATATTTAATAAAAAGCCTTTGTATTGGGCACATAGGAAATGCTTAATACGTGTGATCTGTTCTCATGGCTTAGAACCCGCAATCAGTACCAACCTGGGGTTCATGAGTTGACAGTGACCCAAGCCAAGATATGTCAGCCCTTCCTGATTTTTTTTTTTTTTTTAAAGACAGGTATATTGAGGAATAACGGATACGCAGTAACATCTGTCCTCGTGAGTGGACAGTTCCGAGTTTGGAGAACTGGGCACAATTGCCATACAGTTTCTTTAGCCATAAGTTCCCGCACGTTCTGATCAGGAGCTCTTCATCGTGTGGCCTCCTGCACGCTTTGTCTGGAGTACTTGGCACCCGCTTCCAGAAAAAAATGCCCTTTTCTCTTCTCTCGGCCAGTCTAGGAGCCATTTCCCACTTGACCTCCGGGGAGCATCTCTCCTGAGGGGGCAAATCCGGAGTCAGAACAAAGGGTCCCCACGGGGGTCAGGGTTGGTGTAGTTCTAAGAGGCCTCACTTGGTGGCAAGAACACTGGAATGTGGTTGGGTCATAACAAAGCGCATTTGGATCACTGAAATTTGGCGGGAGGCAGAGCAGGCTGGCAGGACACGTCCTGACCATGTGCACGTGCTCACAGTTGGGTCCTGTCCACACTGGCTGTCCGTGGGTGGGACAGGTAGAGGAGGGGAGAGCATGGGCTGCAGACCGTTAGGAGCCTCTCTGAGGGCAGGGACAATGTCGTATCCTGACTTACGTCCCCAGCACTTCGCATGGCTTGTATTGGTGTCTGTTGAGGGACCTAGTAAGTGGTCGTAGTCACCATGGGGCAGGGCCACACCATCTTGGAGCAGACCTGTCCATCACGCGCTGGTTTCTGAAGACAGTAGGGAGGGGAGGGGCGCGGTCTCTGCTCTCCAGGGAGCCCTCCTGTCCATCCGTGGTGACATCAGCAGCCCCCTCACTTCTGTGCTTGCAGAACTACTTTGAGAGCTACCTGACCGTTGCCTCCACCGTCTCCAGTGTGCTGTGCCTCATGGCGAACTTCCTGCTCGTCAACAGGTAGGCCTCGTCCCTCCCTCTGCCAGCCCTGCCCTGTGCCTCCAGCCCTCTCCCAGTGCCTGTCGCTCATGGCTGCTGGTGTGGGCTGCTGGTTTTCAGCTGCTGCAGGGGCAGGCCCCCAAGCAGGAGTCCGGCAGGAAAGACCGAAAGGTCAGACAGGCGAGCCAGGGCCCCGTCGAGGGAAGCCAGGACCGGGAGCTGGACTTTCACTTCCCAGCCACATGCTAGGACCCTGTGTCAGCAGCCAGCAGCAGGCATGTGGGGACCCTCCTCTTCCTCCTTTTCCATCTGGGGAGCCTGTCTGTTACCAGCTGCCTGAGTTGCAGACGGTGTGGCCAGAGGCCAGCATGTGGATGGTGGGGGTGGGCCCGGGGGGAGGGGTGGGCAAGACCTGTGGAAGCTGGTCTTTTTTAACATTTTTAAAATGTATTTATTTTAGAGATAGAGGTGGCGAGAGCCGGCAGGGAGGAGCAGAGCGAGAGGGACAAGCAGACTCTACTGAGCGCAGAGCCCAACGCAGAACTCGATCCCACGACCCTGAGATCATGACCTGAGCTGAAATCAACAGTCAGACACTTAACTGACGGACCCACCTGCAAGCAGTTCTGAGAGTGTCAAGAGCCTGGCTCCCCATGATTCTGGCTCTCGCTCCACGGAATGGGCCGCCAGCTCATGTGCTGACTACTCATAGAGGCCCTGTGGGGACCTCCTGACACTGTGTTAGAGTAGGGGTTGGGAGAGAGCGCCATGGCTGCGCTGTGGCGGAAGAAATGATGCAGGAGACAGCCAGGCAAGTTAGCATGGCCCTTGGACTCCACCGGGGGACTCTTGTTCTCCATTGAGGTTTGCAGGAGCACTAGCCCTAGCTCCTTGGCCCACATTTCCCCTAAGCTACCAATAGGAACCTGGGCTCCTCTGGACCCAGCCACCTGGAACCTTAGATCCCCGATGGCCAATCAGGTTTACCCAGCTCTGCTAACTTTGCAGTGCCGGCCTGGATCTCTGGTGGAACAGGTCTCCGAGGCAGGTCTTGCCTCAGGCAGTGTGCTGGGACTGATGGGTGGGGTCTGCTCTGAGCATGGGAGGAGAGAAGCAGCATGTGGGCTAAGCCTGGATAGACTGGTCCTTCCAAACATATTATGCAATGGGGCTATTGCAATTATCTGTCGTGGCATTCAAGTGATCCCCAAGCATGGTCGCGGTTTAAACACTAACAGTATGAGTCTGTCTCACGATCTGGGCGCCATCCGGCTAGTTGGCAGCTCTGTCTTCCTGCCCCTCATGTGGTCGCAGACAGTGCGGCTGGAGCTGCTGGCCCTTCCCTGGCCCCCATCTCCTTCTCCTCTCGTCTCCCCTCCCCTCCCCATGGTCTCTTGCACGGTGGTCTCAGGTAGTAGGACTTTCCATCTCGTGGCTGAAGAGCAGGTGCTTGAACAAGCAAGGCAGAAGCTACATGGTTTCTGTAAGCTAGTCTCTGTGGCCGCACGGTGTCACTTAAGCCAGACTTGGCTGGGCAAGCGCTCCCCAAGGTCACTTGGTTTTGAGGGGATGTAGACCCACCTGTCGATGGAAGGAGAGACAAAGAATTTGCACCCATTTAAAAACCAAAGTACAGGGCACCTGGGTGGCTCAGTGGGTTAAGCCGCTGCCTTCGGCTCGGGTCGTGGTCTCAGAGTCCTGGGATCGAGTCCCGCATCGGGCTCTCTGCTCAGCGGGGAGCCTGCTTCCCTCTCTCTCTCTCTCTTTCTCTCTCTCTCTCTGCCTGCCTCTCTGTCTACTTGTGATCTCTCTCTGTCAAATAAATAAATAAAATCTTTAAAAACCAAAGTACAGGCCGTAAGGGCAAAGAGCACACTGGGGCTCAGATGGCCTTGAGATAAGCCTGCTGACCCTCACCTTGCCTCCTCCTGCCTTCCCCTGGCACACGGGGCTACCCTCCATGTCCTCAAAGGTGGGGCGCAGCCTCCAGAGCACGCCCCCCCAGGAGGAATGAGTGGAGGAATGGAACTCAGAGCAGGGCCAAGTGTTCCCTCCACACTCCTGGTCCCTGGAGGGAAGAGCTGTAGGAGAGAAGGCAAGAAGAAGGGAAGGGAACAGAAAGGAGGAGGATGAGGAAGAGGGGGTGACAGCCAAGGTGGTGGAGGGCCCCTTGGTCTCTCACCACCCCCTCCTTTCTAAGACTTTCTCGTGACCCTCTCTGTCCACTTGCCTGGCTGGCCTGGGGACACAGGTTTGTCCAGCGGAGACAGCCCGGGCTCATGTAAGTGAGAGCCCCCGCCCCCTTCTAGATCTGGCGCCAGTGTCTGAACTATAACAAGGGGTGATGCCTGGTGACACACAATAACCCGAGAGGGAGGCCCTGACATGAGCCCCTTTCCAGGGGGAAGTCAGGAGCTATACCCAAGACCACAGGACCAGTGCAGGGTGGCCCAGGCTGGCGTTGTGCGTCCACTGTGGTCATGAGATCCAGCAGGCCAGAAGCCGGCCTGGGACAGTGGTCAGCAACAGGGAAGGTTGGTCCTCAGGACACTCAGGTAGCACTTCAGAGCACTCGTACCCCTTAGAGCTTTGTCTCCTTTAATCCTCCCAACAGCTGGAGAGCGGGAAACTCAGTACCTTGCTTTACAGATGGGAAGATAGGCACACGGAGGTCAAATTCACAGGGTGAGTCCAGACGGGAACTGGGACCCTCCTCACCCCACACTTGTACTTGGAAACTCTGGGTCCCCCAGCTCCTCCCTGTGGCCAGAGCCACACCTCAGAGCCTTCTGCCCTGGCTTCAGGCAGCTGGAAGGAAGGAGGTGGTAAAGGAGGTCTAGGTTTGCCTGCAGTGGGGACGGGACCACCCAGGTAGCCACCCTCCCAAAGTCAGGCAGGAAGCTGGCTGTGAAGGCTCAAGCACTATAGGGCTTCTTCCAGAAGTTTCAGCCCACCCCAGGGCCTGCCCTTACCCTCCTCCCTGTAGGAGAGGGATGAAGGCAATGTGGGGAACGCTTGCGGGCCTCCGTCTGTTTCTGGGCTGTGGGAAGATGGTTTGCGGCTAAGCTGTTTTTTATTTAATGTGCGAGATTGAAACGTCTCCTTTTCTCCCCTCCTGGAGAACCCTGGCTTTCTCTGACTGGCTCATCCATAATCTCCAAGTGTTTTATTATGTTAAATCTGTAGCATCATAAATACTTATGAGTAGAATTTACATTTGAGAGACTTATGAAGAAATCAGTCCCCTGGGGTCCTGAACAAGGGGGAGGGAAGCTGGCAGCCCTAGCCCTTGCCCAGAATCTCACATTCCTGTGGCCTGCCCAGGGTCCCGGGGCCGAAGCAGTTGTCTCGGCCATCCCCTGTCCCAGAGCAGAACCCCTGACACCAGGGCAGCCCTTGTCTAGACTGTCTCTACCATCTTGACGATGTCCCTGTCCCCCCGGCAATTCTCTCGGCCCAGGTGGAAGAAGCAAAGAGAGGCCAGCGTGTCCCCGTTATTGCACGTGGGGTGGGTTCCGTGTAGCACATCTCATAAAGCTTCGTGGGCATTGAAGAGAGCCCCACGCAGGACCCCTGAGGACCTGGGGCAGAATGGGTCACGTGGCAGGTGATTTGCCGGCAAGGAGGAGGCCTGTGCAGGCGAGGGACCTGCAGGGACTCCGTTGCTCCTGGCCTGCCTTTGGCATTTACCTCCTCACCTCCCACCGCCCTGGGGGTGCTGGGCGAGCAGTCCCCCAGCTCCCTCCAGAGCAACCTTCCTGTAGGGGCAACTAATTACCTTGTTGGGACAGGCTCCAGAGAGCTCCTGGGACACCATCAGCATTCCTGGCATGGACTTCGTCTTCACCGGGGTTGGGAGGAAGTGGTTAGAGGCAGAGCCCACACCTGAGGCTGGCTGGAAACTCAGTATTTCCAGTGGTCTGCCTGCCATGCTTGGGGGGGTCAAGAAGCAGAAAGTCTCCTTCTACTGCTAATAAGCCTTGCCTGTCAGTTTGTGTGGTCCAGCAGGGACTCACCAGGTCCCTCCCAGGCCCTCTGTCCACCCTGGGGGGACAGGGAAAACAAGACAGAGCACTGTCCTGGCGGCACTCCTCCTGTCTCTAGTCTGCCCTGGGCCTCCTTCTTGCCCCAGGGATCTGGTAAAGCTTTTTGGCCTCCGTCGCCACCCTCTCTCTCTCCGTAACTATCTTAATATTTACAATTGTAAATGGGAATGTTATGCTGACCCAGGCTCTGAGCTCTTGCTGGCTCTTATCTTTGGGGCATGGGGCAGCTTCAGCTGCTGGGAAAGGGTGGAAGGCACTGTGCGACCCGGCTGAGTGTGGAGAACCAGCCCGAGCGTCAGAGGTAGGCCTAACAACCAGCTTCCAGGACTGCTGGTGTGCACTTACACTAGATACTCTGGGCCCCCAGGGGTCCAGTTGCTCTACCTGGCTGCCCCCCAGCTCCTGCCTAGGATGAGGCCCCTGCAGACCCTGGGAAGATACATCATGGTGCGGGGTTTCCTAGAAACAGCCCCTGCAACAGGGATTTGAAGTGTGAGCCCTTTACTTGGGAGGTGAAGGTAGGAGAATGGAGGCGGGTGATGAGAGGGGAAAGCAGCCAATAAAGGATGCCTTACCAAACCAGCTCCCACAGAAAGAGACCAACCTTGACCTGCCTGGGGACTCTGGGACCCAGTGTGGAAGGCACACCTGAGGGGGAGGGAGCCGGGGTGTTTATCCACCCACTTCCCCCCCTCCCCATTGTTGGTTGAAAGCTGCTCTTGGGAGATGTTAATTACCTGTCACTTGCGGCCTGCTTCGAGGTAGAGGGATGGTGCATGGGCAGGTCGCCCACCAGCTAGAAGTCTTGATGTGCCTCTTTGTGTGCGTTAGCATTCTTGGTAAAAAACAACAGAGACACAAAAAGGGTTTTCTCATTCTTGACCTGGAAAACTAAAATCAGGGCTGCTGCCACACGTAGCTGCACATTGCTGGGTCTAGGAGATCGTGTATGTGCCCAGGGCTGTCCTCTTGCACTGTCCCGGGCTCTGTGTGTGTCTGCCTGGCTTCATCCCAAATGTGGTCTCTCTCCATGCAGCTGGCCAGGTGACAACCAGCAGCCCCCAACACGGTCATGGCAGGGAAGGAGCTTCTCTCCACCTTTCAGTCCTGGAGGGCCCTCACTGGCCCTGCCTGGCTCACATGCTAATCCCAAACCCAAACCAGTGACCTGCCCCTGTGGCACAGGACACTCCAGTTACCCCAGACCCAGTCATCATGTGTCCATCATCTGTGGCTTGGTCAGGGTGGCAAGGTGGCCAGCCACCTCTCCAGAACAACTTGGCATGGAAGAAAGAGTGTGCCTCAGGGAAAGGATGCTGGCAGACGAAACCTGCACATGTACCCTACACCCTGCCCTGAAGGTCAAGCCTTGGCACTTAGCAGCTGGACCTGGCCCTCCAGGATAGGGCTCCGCTTCCCTCCAGCCTCTGCTCTTGATCTTGCCTGCAGTCTGAGGCCAGGTCCCTGCACGTGCCATGTCCCCTCTCACCAGACACATGCCCTCACATCCCAACACTCCTTATACTTCAGGTTGGGTACCTCCTCCAAAAAGACTCTACGACCCTCAGGCTGGGTTTTGTACTCCCTTGGATGCACCCAGAATGCCCTGGGGCCCTCCCGGTGGAGCACTGTGCACACTAAAGCAAAATGCCTGACCGGGGCTGGGGTCACCCAGCAGGTGGCTTGACACACCGGAACTATCTGATAAATGTTTGCATAATAGACACCAGAGAGAATGCATGTTGGCAGATAGCCCTGGGCGGAGGCTCAGCAGACCTGGGTTCTCTTCCCCTGCTCCCCACGGAATCACACCGAGACCTTGAACTGCCCCTTCACATCCGCAGGCTTCCCTCTACCCTTTACGCAGCAGAGGTGGCACCTGCCCTCCCTCCAGCGAGGATCAGAGCTAAGATCAGAGAAAACTCCAGTTAGCCCGGAGCCGCAAAAGCACTTTGAAAAATCCTTGCTTCTCACGCTCATCATTTCACACCTATTTATGTACATATATATGTAGATACTTTTTTTTTTTTTTTTTTTACCTTTCAGGTCTTTCTTTTTTATAAAATTTTTTTTATGTGTGTATAACTAATCTGGCTTTTCTCCCAGCCCCTACCCACTGGTTCTCAGGAAAATTAACCAAATATCCAATCCGGCTTAAAGCTTAGTCTAATCTGATGATTTAAACAGCCCCTTTCCATGATATTCTCTCTCCCTGGAATAAAAATGTGCAGTTTCCTGGAGAGCCAGCCTTCCCTGCTCCTCCCTTCAGGGAAGCATCTGGGCGGTTGGGGGCCCAGAGGAGCGTGTGGTTTGCGTTGTGGGTATGGGGCTGGCCCAGGGCTGCTCTGGCTTGGCGTCAGCGGCTGCCCGTGACAGCTGAAACCGTCGCAGGAGAATCCTTCTGCCCCGGCCTGTTCTGGACCACCCAGATTCCCTTCCTTCCAGGGAGGCCGTAGAGTGTCCTTCTGAGAGTACAGACTGGAGCCAATCCTCTCGGGGTCACAGTGAGTGACCTTGAGCAAGTTCTTTAGCATCTCTGACCTCAGTTTCCTTCCTTGTACCTGCAGGACGGTCAGAGGGCCTGTCTTGCAGGGCTGGCGTGAGAAGGCAACAAGTCAGCATGTAGAAACATTCCGAAGGGTACTTGGCACGGGTTTAGTGCTATCTGGGTGATTGCTCTATGATGACGATGGTGTTGGTTTACTGCTCGTCTCCCTCCTCCCGCCACTGCTAAGTTTTGGGAGAAGGAAGCCCAGAGGGTGGTGACTTTGTTGAAACACTAGCCAAAGCCAGTGGGAGCTCAGCTTGAGAGCAAGGGCTTGCCTTGAGACCTCCTGTCCTGTCCTTGAACCTCACAGCAAGATGAAAAGAAGCAATATCCACTGAGCATTTGCCCTGAGCTGATGCTGCCCCTGCACTCCACACGCTCCCCTCCAGAGACCCTCACCACCACCCCTGCAGGTGGATCCATCCTCCTCCCTGCTGTACAGACACAAGAACTGAAACCAGAGAGACGGAGTCACTGACCCAAGGCCACACAGCTAGTGAGCCAGGAAGGCAGGATTCAGGCCCAGGCCTCCCGGCTGCAGAGTGTCCCTTAAGAACCTTCCCCACCAGCCCAAGGGGATCTGTGACTGCTTCTGGCATCCCCCCACCCCACCCAGGGTTCCGATTCGAGTCCGTGTGCTAGCCTCGCTGACTGTCATGCTGGCCATCTTCTTGGTGATGACTGCACTAGTGAAGGTGGACACCTCCTCCTGGAGCTATGGCTTCTTTGCTGTCACCATCATCTGCATGGCGATTCTCAGCGGGACCTCCACCATCTTCAACAGCAGCGTCTTCGGCATGACAGGTTCCTTCCCCATGAGGAATTCCCAGGCACTGATATCAGGTAAGAGCCGTCCTCCAGACAGCCGACCAGGTTAGTCTACCTGGGGGGTCATGCAGAGGGATAGGCAGTGACCCTTCCAGAAAAGGCAACAAGTGTTAGCTCTATTTGCACTATTATTGGGTAACAAAGCACCCCAAAACTTAGTGGCTTCGAACCATAGGAGTCATGTCTTTGGCTCACAGATCTGCAACCTGGGCAGGAGTCGGCAGGGACAGCTCAGCTCTCCTCTGCCCTGCACGGCATTAGCCGACAGAGTAGAGCTGTGGGCTGGAGGGCCCACTCTGAGAAACTCAGCCAGGCTGGGGCCTGGGGCCTGAGGGGCTCCTCTCTACCAGGGTCTCGGCATGGCCTGGTGGGCTTCCCTGGGGCATGGTGCCTGGGTCACCAGAGTGAGCATCCCAGGAGACCCAGGCAGAAACATTATTTCCTTTCATAGCTTAGATGTGGAAGCCATTTATGGCCACGCCCACCATAGCCACGATCCCACGGGTCTTTGAGGGGAGAGAACACAGACCCACATGCATCAGCGGGAGAACATGAAAATCATCCTGTAAGAAGAGCAGCTGGGAGGGAAGCCAGTTGTAGCCCCTTTCAGCAAACACATCCGTCTACCGAGTGCATCTCCTGCAACAGCATTCCTTTCTTCCCTTCCTCCTCGTCCCCTCGCCTTCTCCTGTCCCCTGCCTTCTCTTTCCTTTGCTTTCCTCTTAGCTTCTCCCCCTTTTCTTCCTTTCTCATTTTATAGAAGACCTACTATGTGCCAGGGATTCAAAGATGAACAGACCCTGCCTCTCGGGAGCCGATAGCCTAGCAAATAAGCACCTCCATGACCCTGAACTTTGGCCGTCTCTGGAAACGCAGATGCACCACTTGGGTCAACTCCTTTGGCTGAAGTTTGATGCTGATCCTAAGCCCGTGGTCCAGGCCTTTCGCAGCTCTGTTCCCTCGCTCAGATGTCCCAGCAAGAAAAAAAGGAGTAGGGTCAGTAAGAATCTGTGCTTTCACAGAAGACCACCGTCCCTTAACATGAGACTGGGAACTCAGCAGCTGTGTTCAGCATCGAGCACGTTGTGTGAAGGAGGGTCATAAGCATTGGCCCGCTTGAAAAGAATTTCACAAAGAATCTCTTCGGTGTCCATGAACATCACTAATAGATCCGTTTCTCTCCCCCGAGCCTCCCATCCCTTCTCAGCTCAGCACTGGTGGTGTTCCTACCTGCAGATCAGAGTTCAGATGTGAGCTCAAGTCTGTTTGCCATTTTGGACGTAAGATTAGGCTTATGGCTCTGTCCGGGGAAATCCTTGGGTCTAAAGTAAAATGAAAGTGAGCCCGTGGCTAAGTTTCTTGAGTACAGTCAACATGCCTGTAGCAGGGCTTTGAGAAGGACATGCCTAGCCTGAGGGAAATGGCCCCCAAGCACTGGATGTGATCTCGTCTGTCACCTGAGTCTCAGAGAGAAACCTGTCATCGCCCTCCATCCTGCCAGCAGATGTATTTTTCCTTACAACCACCTTGCTGGCTACCTGTCTACCAGTGACCAAACCCACAATTTATGCTGGCAGGGGGTCCTTCGGATTCATCGGGCCACCCGGGAATCTTCTCGAAAAGGGGACTCTCTTGTGAATTTTTCAGAAATTCCATGTTTGAAAAAGTGGAGAAGTCCAGCTCTCACACTTCGGTACTGATTACCCCAGGCCCTAAGCCAGTGTCATCACTCGGCAGGGGGTTGGGAGGGGCCATCAGATGCCCCTCGCCCTGGAAAATCCGAGGTGGCCCCAGCTCCCAGAGGCCCCAACGCCATCTCCCCAGACCCCGTTATTTCTGGACCAGAGGAACCCATCTGTGAATTCTGCGTGTGTAGGCATCCGAGGAACAATTCATTTGTTTTGTACTGGTGTTTTTTTAAGCCCCTCATTTGCATGTATTTCCATAACCGATGAGATAAAAGTAGGGAGTCATGAAAGATGAGCTCCCGGAGGCCTGGTTTGTTGTTGATGATAATATTGTAAATTCCCTACAAGTTGGGGAGAGAGAGGGAAATCAATAGGCGGTGATGTTAAGATCTCTTCCTTAGGCAGCCGGCAAGTGTCTTACTCAAATTGAGCTCCAGTTCTTACAAAACATCCAGGTGGGGATTACAGCTTCTCTGAAGCTGGCACCCTCTTGGCGAGGGGTTTACCCTGTTGTTGCTGCTTTGATGTAGGAAGGACAGAAATAGCCAAACACCTAATCGGGAATCTGAGAGGTTCATAGGCACTCCTCTGTGCCGGGCACCATTCTCAAGGCTTTCGGGCTCAGGATCCTTTTTATCTTCACAAGAGCCCTTTGATGTGGGCATTAGTAACATCCCCATCTTACAGCTGAGGACACGGAAGCACAGAGAGGTTCAGTGACTTGCTGAAGGCCACACAGCCAGACGAGGTAGAATCAGGATGGGACTCAGATGTTCTGGTTCCAGAGTCTGCTCTTTGTCTTCGCTGTGCTAACCTTGATCTCTTTGCTGTCCTTTCAAATCCCGGATCTCCGGCCCCACCTGGGTGAATAAAGCTCACAGGGAGGTTAGGGAAGAAGGATCTGTGGTGGGAGGCGGTGGGCTGTTCCCAGCAGAGCTGGGGTCAGAGGGGTCAGGATCCCAGAGGGGTTAGGCAGAGTGTGGGTGAGGCCCTCAACCGTTGCCCTGCCCTCGGCTCCTGCTCTGAGCAGCACCCAGCAGAGAGTGCCACCTGGTCACATCTGCGTGGCAATGACAGGGCTGTCCCTGCCCACACAGAACACTTTGCTGTCTGCTGCCTGCAGTCCCCCACCTCCTTGTCTCCCTGAGAATCTGTATCGTGGCCTCCTGGCTGTCGATGCAGGCAGACGCATTCATTCAGCCGGGCAGGGCGGCGCACTCACCAGACCTCGGGGGTGGAGGACGAGTATTAGCTCCATTTTCCAGGCAATGAAACAGGTGGAGAGGAGTAAATGACTTGGGGGCGCGCACGGCCGTGTCTAACCTCTGAGTCTTGCCTGGCACAGGTTGACTACCCACGGTTGTGAAGGTTCAACAGGGAAGTAAGGTCCATCCCCCATCTCCCCACCCCGCCTCCCAGAAGTGACAGTGTGATTGCAGCAGAGAAGGGGACCGATACTTGTCGAAAGCTGGCTGTGTATGGGACCTTTCCAGACATGAGCTCAGGTCTCACAGCAGCTGTTCAAGGCAGGGCTTGTTAGTCCCAATTTACAGACCTGCACACTGGGGCTCCAGGGGGTCGTGTTAGCCTCCCCAGTCGCACGCAGTGAACAAGCCGCAGGGTCAAGGGTCAGAGGTACACCTGTTTGGCTCCCAAAGCCGTGGGTCCACTAAGTTGTGCCACCTCCTCTGTTGGTAGTGGTCAATGGTGGTGACATATTTTCACATGGGTCACATGGCAAAGCCCTTGGCCAGAGAACATTTCATGTGGGAGGGTGGTTGCATGCTTGTGACTGTGAGTTTGTGTGTAGGAGTGTTATAGCACAGCAGTGTGTGTGTGTGAGTGTGTATGAGAAAGTGTGAGTGAGTGTGTGTGCTGTATGTGCAACCACATTCACGTGCATGTGTGCCACACTTTCCATGGGGCACAAGGTCAGCTCTGTGAGCTCTCGGGCTGGTGACACAGGGTTTCTGTAACCGATGAGGACTCCCGGGATGGGCGGTATTGCTCAGAGCCACAGGTGGGCCTGTGCCAGAACATTCCCTGAACCTCTGATCCAGTTTGCTTGGTGGTGGCTTGGGCTTAGGGTACTGGAGAGGAGCTCTCTGAGAAGTCCCACCCCTCAGTGGAAAACTGCTGACCCTAGAAGAAGGGCGGTAAAGAGAGATGGAGGTGAAGGTAAAACTCTGGAGGGCGTTTGCCCCTTCAGGCTGCAGCTCCCACAAGCCCATCAGTGGAAACCTGGGCTGGGGACATGACCTCCGATACCCTCTTAGACTCAGAGCTCATGGCTGCCCAGCCCCCTGTGTCTGCTGGGGCGTCAGGGCCCCCTAAGGACTACAGCATCTCTGTCAAGCAGGGAGAGTTTCTACCCCCGTTCCATGAAGGCTGAGCGGACGGGGGCATGCCCGAGTCGCAGGGAGGTGGGCTCACCCCCCCATTTCCACGGCCTCCTGTGCTCCCTGCAGGAGGAGCCATGGGGGGCACCATCAGTGCCGTGGCCTTGCTGGTGGACCTGGCGGCGTCCAGCGATGTCACGGACAGCACCCTGGCCTTCTTCCTGACAGCAGACGTCTTCCTCGGGCTCTGCGTCGGGCTCTACCTGCTGCTGCCGCGGCTGGAGTACGCCAGGTGAGGCCCCCCTCACCGTCGGGATGTTCCCCCAGCTCTGCTTCTTTGTACCCGCTGTCTCCCCAGGCCTCTCCCCACCTCTTCTTGCACTTCTTTCGTGCTTCTTGCTGCTCTTTTAACAACAGCCCTCAACTTTTTCTCGCATTTTATTCTTGTCAAGGCATTTCCTGATCCATTATCGTATTTGATGTAGGAGAGGCAGGAATCATTTGCCCTGTTCTGCAGGTGAAGAAATGGAGCCCGAGAAGGCCAGGGGGCCAGCCTGTGACCGCACAGTGGGCGAGCTGGCAGAGCTAGGACCCAGGTCCTAGCTCTGCCCTTTCCCGCGGGGACCCGTGTTGCCTGGTGGTGCTGAGCTCAGCCATTTACGCCTGTGTGTCTTTTCTTCACTTTTTCTGTGTGCAGTTGTTACCGCCCTTCCCCATTTTACAGATGAGGAAACCGAGGCTTTGTCAGCTAATAGACGTGTCCAGGCTGCTCACCTAGTGAATCGCAGACCCAGGTTTGAACCGGATTTGTTTCCAGAGCTGTGCCCTTTGCAACATTTTTGAGTCACGGAATGGGCAGAAGGCAGGAGGGTCCCAGCACTCCTGCTGTGTCCCTGTGTACCGTTTCATAGTGCTTCACACGAGTGTGTCTCCAGTGGGGTGGCCAACCTTCCCTGTTCACCTGGGACTGAGGGATTCCCAGGATGAGGGGCTTTCGGTGCTAAAACCGGGAAAGTCTCAGCAAATGGGGACAGTTGGTCACCTTCGTTTCTAATCTCACTTTCCAACTGAAATCCTCACAAAACCCTTTCCAGCTGAGCCTGTGAGACAGAGAACACCCAGGGGCTATGCTTGTCCCATGGAACCTTCTTCTCTGCCGATTAAAACTTTGGTCAGGACTCCTGGGTTTACAGAAACGCATCAGACGAAGGAGCTTTGGAGGCAGCCAGGCTCCTGGGGCTGCTCAGACTAAATCTTAGTTAAAAGGGAGCCCATGGGCACTGCCCCCAGGAGGAACGGACCCCCAGGCAGTGCGGGGGGCTGCTGGCTCGGGGAGGGCGACGGGAGGGCGACGGGAGACAGAGGTGGAAGAGCTTGATGAGGAAGAGGTTTGACCAGGGGAACTTGGCGTGGAGCCCTCTGAGAGCTGACTTCAGGCCGGGATCTGCCACTGAGTCTAAGGGGAAGTAAGAATACTCCTTCCCCTAAATAGCGGTTGTGGAACAAGACAGAGTTCAAGTCTGCAGTGCCTGGCTCAGCATCACACGGGAAAGTGGTTTGGAGGAGGAGCCCTCCTACCGACTCGATTATTACCTGTAAGCACTTAGGATGGGCGGCCTGGCAGGGGCCTCAGAAGCTCACGGCTGCAGGACCCGTCTATCTTACAGAGGAGGAAACTGAGCTCAGAGAGGGGCATGCCTGGCCTAATGTCACATGGGGAAACAGAGGGGGGCTGATACCAGAACCCAGACATCACTGAGCTACTGTTCTCCCAACCCCACACCAAGCTTTCTGTTTGGGATGTGGTCATGTGGTCAGCCTATGTCTCCTGGCTTTCAGCATCTGAGGCCCAGAGAGATTGAGTGACTCGGGCAAGGTCACACAGCAAGATGGCAAGGCCAAGCCACCTAAGTGTCTTCTACTCTGGTGAAAGTAGCAGAAATTGAAAATATTGATTATATCAGTGTTGAGGATATGGAGGGAAAGATACCTTTATAGACTTATTAGTTATAATTCTATTTTGAAGGGTTACTCTGTGTGTGATGATCTAGCTGGAAACAGGCAAACATGGTACTTGCCCCAGGGAGCTGTCTTTTAACAAAGGAGCCAAATGATAAAACATAAACTAACCCAATGGTTATAATTTGTGGTCAGTGTTTTTGAAGAAACCAATGACTGCATAAAGATTAACAGGGCCGGTGACTGGAGATGGGGCAGGGGAGTGGTACAGAGCAGAGACAGATTGGTCTTACCTATTTGGAGAGTAACAAAATTTTAAAGAAAAGCTTTTTTAAAAAAAATAACATATAATGTATTATTTGTTTCAGGGGTACAGGTCTGTGATTCAGCAGTCTTACACAATTCACAGCGCTCACCATAACACATACCCTCCCCATTGTCCATCCCCCAGCCACCCCATCCAGCAGCCCTCAGCTTGTTTCCTGAGATTAAGAGTCTCTTATGGTTTGTCTCCCTCTCTGGTTTCATCTTGTTTTCATTTTTTGCTCTCTTTCCCTGTGATCCTCTGTCTTGTTTCTCAAATTCCCCATATCAGTGAGATGATATGATAATTGTCTTTCTCTGATTGACTTATTTCGCTCAGCATAATAGCCTCTAGTTCCATCCACCTCATCGCAAATGGCAAGACTTCTGGGTCTTTGATGGCTGCATAATACTCCATTGAAAGATACAAACGTTTTGATCCAGAAATTCCTTCTCTAGAAATCTGCTCTACTGAAGTCCTAGCATACAGGCGCAAGGCTGCGTGGGACTCTTCATTGCACCATTATTCATAGTAGAGAGAGATTGGAGCTAACCTTAATGTCCATCAGCGGGGGAGCAGTTAAATTGCATATGCATACAATGAAGTATGCCACCCAACAGAGAGGCATTGAGTCACGTGTCTCCATGTTAACAGTTGGCCACAAGATACTGTTCTAGATGCAATTATGGGCACACATGTGTATATCATAGTTTTGCATGTTATTTGGGCTGTTATGTAACACATTTGTATACATTATTTATATAATAGATTTAGGAATTGCCCTGTTGTGGGAAGTTTTGCAATGTGTATAGTTTGATCCCTTTTGCTTAAGAAACAGAACTAGGAAGGACACGTGGTGGGGGGAGAGGGGACGTTTGCCCATCCACGGAGCCATACACACCAGATTTTTAACCATCCGGACCTCCAAGGAGTGAGACCAGACAGAGGTGGCCATACTCGTTCTAGTCAACCATTTTCCTTCTGTATTTTGAGTTCATTGCATCAAGCTTGTGCTATTTTTATAATTTTAGAAAAATTATATTTAAAGTGCTATTTTATCTCCATGTCTTCACCAAAGCAAAATGAAAACAATGGCTCACTACGTGGCCGTTAGTGCTGCTTCCCTCTGTCCCTGCTCGCGGCCAGCCTTTCAGGCAGCACCAGAATGGGCAGGCCAAGGACTGTGCGGGTCTCCCTGTGGCTGCCTGGGCACATATGTCTGAGGGCTTCCTGAGGCTTCATGCACCAGGCCTGTGGGTCCCTTGCCCATGTCCCCAGAACTCCCAAGTGACCCTGCTTTCTGGGGCCCTCTGACTGTGAGCCCTCTCCCTCTGCAGGTTCTACCTGAGACCTGTTTGGCCAGCCCCTGTGTTTTCTGGGGAAGAGCAGCCAAGCCAGGACTCCCCCAGCGCCCCCTTGGCAGCCCTCAGATCCCGCGACTCCTCTATACCACCCCTCCGCCCCATCCTGAAGAAGACCGCCGGCCTGGGCTTCTGTGTCGTCTACCTCTTCTTCATCACCAGCCTCGTCTTCCCCGCCGTCTCCACCAACATTGAGTCCCTCGACAAGGGCTCGGGCTCGCCATGGACCACCAGGTTCTTCGTCCCCCTCACCACCTTCCTCCTGTATAACTTCGCCGACCTGTGTGGCCGGCAGGTCACAGCCTGGATTCAGGTGCCGGGGCCCAGGAGCAAGATGCTCCCCGGGCTGGTGCTCCTCCGGACCTGCCTCCTCCCCCTCTTCATGTTCTGCAACTATCAGCCCCGCGTCCACCTGCACACGGTGCTCTTCCGGTCCGACCTCTACCCGGTGCTCTTCACCTCCCTGCTCGGCCTCAGCAATGGCTACCTCAGCACGCTGGCGCTCATGTACGGGCCGAAGATCGTGCCCCGCGAGCTGGCTGAGGCCACGGGGGTGGTGATGTCCTTCTATTTGTGCTTGGGCTTGGTCCTGGGCTCGGCCTGCTCCACCCTGCTCGTGCACCTCATCTAGAAGAGGCGTGATGGCAGGAACCTCGGAGCCCTGCGACAGACACTTAGGAGCCCCAGTGGGTGGGGAGCGAGTGTCGGGAGGGCTGGGTCAGCGTGCAGAAGAGAGCGGCAGCTGGGCCCGGTGCAGAGCCGAGCACGCCCGGGCCTCCCGTCTCCCCGGGGAGCTGGCAGCCGTGCCAGGCACACATTCCAGACACTTTCAAGAGCTCTCCTGAGACCTCTGAAGGAGACCAAAAGACATGCGAGTGGGGCCCCGTGACCACAGTTACCCAGAGGACAGTGGACATGCCCATCACCTTTCTGGTTACATTCCGCCTCGTTTTACAGCCTCTTATGAACTTTGTCGCCAGTGTTGACTCCAAACTGTTACAAGGCCAGTGCCAAAACCCGACCACAGGCCCTTCGCCTCTCCCTGTCTTGCTCCCTCCTGGGGACAGCAGGACGTAGCAATTCCCAGCCCTCCCTCTCCAGGGGGTTCCCCTAGAATAGAAATCTCCTGGAGGGACACCTAGCGGCTCAGTGGGTTAAGTGTCGGACTCTTGATTTTCAGCTCAGGTCTTGATCTCAGGGTCCTCTAGTGAGTTTGGGCCCCGCGCTGGGCTCCATACTGGGCACGTGGAGCCTACTTAAAAAAAAAAAAAAGTCCACTGGAATAGCCAGTTCTCAGGCCCAAGACCCAAGGCTGTGCAGACCCCTGCTTTCTGTGGGCGAGAGAGTACCCGCCCACTGGACAGGGGACCCCAGAAAGACAGGCCTTCTAGGAATCCTCCATTCCCTAAACTTGGACTCTAGAAGGCTCCCCCATCCTAGAGACTGAGGGGGTCAGGCCTGGGAGTTCTGACAGGGATCCTCCACGTGGTCTGTGGCTTGCTCTAGGGTGGGGGTCTTTTCACGACCATGTTTACAAGATGTCAAGCACCTTGGTTCAAGGGCATAATGAATACCTGGATATTTAATGAGAGCCTGACTGGTGGCTGGATTAGTCAGGGTCGCGGCCAGAAACGGCATCCTCCAACTGGATGATGTGAGGATATTTGAAGACAGGGTATAGGAATCCTATGGGGTTGTGCCTTATATCCCAGAAATAGTAAGGCCCTGGTACCCTTACCCAGGGCTGGGGGCAGGGGGCATCTCCAGCCTGCTTTGACCCACAGGAGGTGTACGCCCTTCATCCTTCCCTCCTTCCCATCTCCTCGGAGCCCCTGTGCACTGAGCCACAGCCAAGCAGTAGGCAGAGCAGTGGGCCCTAGACTTGGAGGGGCAGCAGGTGTCCCGAAAGGGGGCACCACCCTCCTGGGCCCATATGCACATCAGGATAGCTCTGCAGCTTCGGCCAGGTGCTGAGTGGTGCTCTGTCCTGGTTTGTCCTGCATCTGCTGTGTATTTTGAAGCTGTTTTTGCAGCAGGCAACCCTCAATTTGTGTGGCCCCCCAGGATGGTCTGATGTGAGTAGTAATTTACATTTCTCTAGTTCCTTGAAGGCTTCTGCAGCGCTGTTCCTTAGGGGAGCAGGCTGGCTTGGGAATCCGAGAGAAAGGAGCTAGATCAGACCCAGGAGTTCTTTCTTGAGAGTCATGCAGGAAGAACAGAGCTTGCCCCCCAAGAAGCAGCAACCCCAAGGACCATCAATCCACCTGCTCCTTCTCGGAAGAGCTCGGGCACCCCGGTGTCCTGCAGACAGCCGATTAGCCCTGGAAGCAGCCAGTAAGCCACCCAGTGGGAGCAGCTTATGTTCCCCTCCTTCTCAGGCTAGGACACACTCCCTTTCTCCGGCCAGAGAATTAGAGAAGACACCCTGGAAAGGTTTTCTGAAACTTGGTATCTAGAATACAAAAAAAATTTTTTTTAGCTAAAAATAAATTCTCCTGTCTCTCCTCCCCTTGCAGGAGCTTGAAATCTCGCCCTTGGTTTTTTTCCCCCACCTCTAATGCTGGTGATCATTTGGTGGCAGTGGTCTGGCTGGTTCATCCCAACCTCAGGCTGAAGTGAAGGGGCAAGAGAGTAGCCAGGCAGGGGTGGAGGGGAGGGCGAGGGGAACAGGCCAGCTTCCTGGAGGAGGAGGCATCGGCTGCTTGGGGGCTGGTGGGGGTGATGCCGACTTAGTTGCTCACCTTTGTGAGCATTTCACAAGGGATCATTCCTTCCCAGGGAGGGAGGGAGGAAAGTAAAAACACGTCTCCCAGCAGAAGGACAGACAGCGGTGTTCAGACACGGTTGTTCCCAGGCACTGGACTTGCTCGTGGGGTTAGTCTCACATGACCACAAGTGTGGAACTAGCTCACGCGCTTTGGGGAGTGAACCAAACTTGCTGAAGAGAAGGATATTTTTCAGTGTGAGGGTGGGGGAGTCCCCAAGAAGCTGGCTTTGCCTCCTAGTCTCTGATTCGATCCCAAGGGCCAGTTTTTAGTACGTGCCCTTGTCTATATTCCAGACCATACATATCTTTATTTTCCTCCTTTTATTCAACAAAGAAAGCCAGAGGCAGCCACCAGAGCGGACTCTTCGACTAGCGAGTGACAGGCGCTTCTAAGAAAACGCTTGTTCCTACAAGAGGGGATGTCATTTGCAAAGGACGACTCCTCCTGCCATCTCTGGCCCAGGGCTGCCTCGAGAAGATTTGGGGCCCCCGCAGCAGCTTGGATATGATGTGGGAGGAGGTCACTGCAGGACCCCGGCTTCTGAGACCATGTAATGCTTTAAAGAGAACTCCAAGTAGAAGAGAGAGGGCCAGAAGTCAGCTGAGAGGTTTCATTCCATCGGCATGGGCGGTTGCATTGACAGCCCAGGCTCACCTTTGTGGGCTTTCTGAGCAAAGCCGCTAGTATCTGTTTGCCATCCTCACTTCCTCGGTGACGGCACCGGCTGGGCCTGAGTCATTGCTGCCCTCCACCTACTGGCTGAGGTTGGCCCACTTCCCAGTTCAGCTTGGACCCTGGCAGGATTCCAGAAGGGATTTTGGCCCCACAGCACGTGGGAGTAGTCAGCAGGCCACAGACCCAGCATCCAACCTTTCCATCAGCCCCCCAGAGCCCTCGCCCGGTGCTGTCCTCCGCCAGGTGCTTCACCTCGATTACCTCCCCATCCATAGCTGAAAACAAGGAGGCTCAGAAAGACTAAGTAACGTACCCAAGGGCACTCAGCTACCAGGTGGCCCAGACAAGAATCAAATCCAGCTCTCCTTAAACTGAGAGGTCCTCGCCCGCCCTGCCCTCTTGCTCCCCTGCTTGAACCTTGACTTTCTCCTTGGTTCTTGAACCCTGTCTCCCTGACTCCCCACCCCATGGCCTGGTGGGAATGTTGTGCCAAGTAGATGGATTGCCCACTGGCCCTGGCCTAACTGATCGGACCAGTGCAGCTGATCAGCCCCCTCTGGACTGGGTCCTCATGGGCCCTGGCACAGGACCTTGGGTTGCTTCCAGCCCTTGCCCTGTCCAGTCCGATCCCCAGCCCCTGCCCTCCTGGTCCCCACAGCCCCTTCTCTGCCTCACCAGCCCCTGCTGCTGAGGTCGCTACAGTGTGGCTGCTGGTGCTGGGCCCACCTTTGGACACAGGGTTGTAGGGCACAGAACATGGTTTGGGAGTCAGGAAGCCTTGCCCCTATCTGCACCAGGCACTGGCTCTGAATCACGTTGTCTTTGGGACCTCACTTCCTCATCTGCAAAGGGAATGATAAGTTCTGGAATGTGACTGTCCAGGGTGCCAGTGAGCCAACCCAACACACCCACTCTTTCCTGACACCCAGCCCACATCAGCCGGGCTGCACCAGGCCTCACAGTGCACGTGGCAGGCTGACCCAAACTCAGCCTGACAGATGACCTCAACTTCAGGCTGCCGTGGGCTTGACCCAAGGGAGAGTGATGGAGTCGGTCATGTTCTCTGTCCTCACAAGACTCTGGCCAGCTGATGTGATGGCCCTGTGCATCCCCCCTGAGAACAGCACCCTGTTCCTGCCCTTGCCTGCCAGTGGGAGGGAGCTCCAGGCCTGCAGTGTGTGGGAGGACTGGACAGCCAGGGCTTCGGGCACCCGCCCCACGTGGGAGTTCTGGTTCTGCCGCCTCCCAGATGGGTTCTTTGGCCCAGTCTTGCTGTTACCCTCTCCCATCTGAAATGAGAAGCTTCTCAGGGCCACCGTAAGAGGTAACAAAGCCCCTGGGTTGTAGGTAGAAGAACCCAGCAAACAGCAGATCCTTAACAGACTTTCCGCTGCTTCCGGGACAGTGTGGCACCCTGCGCTTCGGAACCCGCCCCTTGCCCAGTCCCAGGGCCCAGCACCTCTGGTCCTGATGCCTGCTCTTTACCGCCCTGCCTGGGTCCGGCCTAGACACACCCGACCTGGGGGCTGGATGGCTGAGGCAGAAAGCTGGGGCTCCAAGACCTAGACCACACTCTGCCCTTCGCTTTGACCTCTGGGCTAGCCCTGTCGATCTGTTGTTAAGCCTCATCTGGAAAAGTGGCCCCCTCCCGCCCTGCCTCCCTCATCCACAGGTGGCTAGCTACACAGATGCTCTGTAGACACTGGTCGTGTCTCAAAGTGGTTCTGGGCTCTGGAGCCGGCCAGCCCAGGTCTGAGTCTCACCACTTCCTTGTCCTTGCACCAGGGGCAAGTTCAGCCTGACTGGCCATGGTTGTTCCAGCCACGCATCTGGCTGTTTTATGTGTTAAGTGGCATGGTGGTAACTCACAGAAAACCTTCAGGATTGAACCCAGTGTAATCGGCGCTCCTTGCCAGCTTCCAGAAGGCTGTATATTTGCCTCTTCCCAGTTTACCTAACCTGTGAGGACTAACTCGTTGACGTTGTCTCTTTCACTCACTAGATTCTGGACGTGTCCCCTGTGCCAGCTGTCCTGCCACTCCCCTGCCCACCTCTCAAAGCCACATCTCCCAGTGCGGCCCACCGTTGGGGCCAAAAGAGTCTGCTTGGCCGAGCTTCTCCGAGAATGTGGCTCGATGGTGCTCACCTACTGATTATTTTACAAGTGGGGAGAAGAGAAAAGACAGGAGGGGAAGGATGGAGGGGAGGAGGGAGGAAAGAAGGAAGCAAAAAGAGAGGAGATGAGGATGGGCTGGGAGTCGGGTCCCCTGACAGCTCTGGGAGGGCGGGTGGTTGGGTGAACCGGAGTGAGAGGTATGCTGTAAAGTTTCCAGGCATGGCCACTGGCTCTGTCTTGAAGTCACAGCTGCTTTCCTTTCCTCCCCACCTCGCACACCTTTGGGTGGAGGCAGCTGGAAAGGTGTTTCCTACCCATAGCGTGACGCTTCTGCCTTGTTATGCCCAGGGAAGGCTTTGGCGACTTTAACCTTGGAAGAGCCCTCATGGACAAGGCGTGGCTCAGCTTCCACGCTGGGCTGCGATGCAGATTTTATAGTTGTAACCAGGCTCTGCAAGGGCCGGGGCGGGGCGGGGCTGTGAGCCTCCGCACAGGCCCGGCTCCTCCCCGCATCGCAGTAAAGGAGGGGGCTGCTGGCTGCTGACTCAGTGCCCACCACGGCCGGGCTGTGCCCACATACAACAACCCTGCTGGCTGGGGCGGCCATTGCCATCTCACAAAGGAGGAAACTGAGACTCCGAGAGGTTAAGTCAGCAAGAGGTCAAGTTGGAATTCAGCCTGGGGCTGTAGGTTCCAAAGCCTGGCTTCTCTCTGGGGCCCCGGTGCTGCCTAGAAGGCTTCCTGGTGGGAGCAGCCCTGGGCCACATGCTGGGTGGGCGGCAAGCACCGTGGAGCGCCCAGCCTTCCTGCAGCAGGACTGACCTGTCCTGGGCAAGGCACAGAAGCCACCTGGCCTGCCCTCAGTGCCTCTGTGGTGTTTGATGAAGTCACTGGTCCTCAGTGACCAGAGCAGCAGGCTTTACAGGCACCTGGAACTTAAAGTGCACCGAGCCAAGGGCCAGGTTGTGGAGCACATGATTACAGGCAGGAGCCTCACTGCCTCCGCCTTACACGGCTTATGCCTCGCATTGAGTCCTCTCCAGGGTGCCAAGGAACCAGAGGTGGAACCAGGGCTGGGCCCCCCCTTCCCAGACACTGAGCAGGCTGAAGCGTGAGGTCCTCAGATGCCCACACCTCCCATCCCCAACTTAAACACACCTAAAGCCGGGAGGGGTCCTGAGGTCACCAAGTCCAACCTCTGCTTCTTGCCAAGATGACACAGGTTATTCTAGACGGTCAGGCACCCAGCCTTGTGCTGATCGGCAGATTCTTCCAGACCAAGTCCCCAGAGCCCCGAGGAGATGGAGCATCCCACTCCTGCTTATCGGGAAATAGCCCCGAGTTCCCAGCCCATTTCCCACATGCTTCACTCTAGACAGAAGGATGCGAAACCTTCCCCGCAGCAGTCTCCCTGCAAGGCCTGACCCTGCCGCTCGGGCCCCAGGCCTGCTCTGTGGAGCGTAACGAGTGTAGAGCCCTACACAGGTGTTGCTCCGCCCCCCTGGGAGCAGTGAGAGGCTCCCGGAGCCCTGAGAGCATGTGCAGAAGTCTGTGTGCTTCTGGGCAGAGGGACCACAGGCATCTGTCAGGCCATCAGAGGAATCCGTGTTCTAAGGTTTTAGATTCCCGGGAGGCCAGGGACCTGCCCCATTTAGATGGTGTCCTCGCACACAGCACAGTGCTGAACGGTGGGACTCTGGAGCCTGTCCGATTTTGCATCCCAACTGGGGACAAGTTTCTTAACCTCTCTGTTTCCTTGTCTGGGAAAGCGGTTGACAGAGTACCCACGGTGCCCCGAGGAGGTTTGCGCACTGCTCTTGAAGGTAGGGGTTTCCTTTAGAGAAGCTGGGAATCAAGCAGATCTACCAACAATGTCAGTCCTGGTCCGGTCCCCAGAACCAGGCACAGGATCACAGGGTGCTGCAGGCGGCTTTAGGCATGA